GGGGGGGGGGGGCGGGAAGGGGTTGAGAGCAGAGAGGTGGGAGCTGGGCTTTGCTCAGGTGACGGAAAGGGACAATGGGCTCAGGTTGCAGCAGGGGAAGTCGAGGCTGGATGTTAGGAAGAACTTTCCGAGCGGGAGGGCGGTGAAGCCTCCATCCCCGGAGACAAAGGGGATGATGCGGGCGGGGCTGGTCCTGCCGCCCCGGGTTCCTCCCCAGCTCCCTCCCCCCTCGTGTCTCTGCCTCGGTGCAGGCTCCTGCCGTGAGGGGAGCAGAGCCCGGGCCGCCGCGGGCCCGTGGCTGTAAATATCTCAACAGATGCTTGGCTTGTTAATAATCAGCTCGGCTCCAGGCCGCCCCGCGCCTCCGCGGCAGCAGCGGCGGCAGCAGCAGGGTATTAATTCGGGCCGCGCGGGCTCGCCACAACATTTGGCTCATTTTTTTTTCTTCTTCTTCCAGAAAGGAAAGATGGGAAAAAAAAAAAAGCGAGCAGAGGGGGGCCGGGGGCGGGCCGGCGCCGCCTGACGCGCAGGCTGCATAATGAGCCGCGCGGCCGGCGGGCTCGTATATAAGCAGCGCGGAGCGGAGCGAGCCGGGCAGTGAGGCAGCGCCGGGGCACGGAGCAGCGGGGCCGGGTCGGACAAGTCGCTCGCCCACCGCAGGATTACTCCCCACCGAGCGGGTGGCGCCGACACCTGGATTATACCTCGCCCCGGCTGCGGGGCCACCTGGGCGGCTGGTGCGGCTTTGGGGCACCGCGAGCGCTGTGGTTGCGGCCGCGCAGGATGGCAGGCGGGCGCCTCGGGGGCTGGACGCTGCTGGTGCTGGTGCTGCTGCTGCTGCTGGGCTTGCAGCAGGTAACGGCGGCCGGGCGGGGGGTGCTGGCGCCCGCGGAGGGCAGCGCCCGGGCAGGCGCTTATGTGCGGGTGCGCGCGTGTCTCCCTTTGTGCAGAGGGCCGCGGGCTCCGGCGTCTTCCAGCTGGAGCTGCAGGAGTTCGTGAACCGGCAGGGCGCCCTGGCCAGCGGCAAGCCCTGCGCCCCGCACTGCCGCACCTTCTTCCGCGTCTGCCTCAAGCATTTCCAGGCCGTCGTGCTGCCGGGCTCCTGCACCTTCGGCAGCCTCGTCACGCCGGTGCTGGGCGTCAATTCCTTCAGCATCCAGGACACGGAGCGCTTCGACAGCCCCATGCAGCTGCCCTTCAACTTCACGTGGCCGGTGAGCTCCCAGGCGGAGGTGCGGGCCGGGGCGCGCCTACGCGCCGCCCGCCGCAGCAGCACCAGCTCGGCCCCGCGGGCGCTGAAAGGCGAGAGCCGCCGTCCCCAGAGGCCGGGAGCTCCGGCTCGCAGTAATGCTATCTGCAATTAGCTTAATTAAAACGGCCGCAGAGGCTGGCGGCGTCCACGCGCTGGCTGGAGGCCCGGGCGGGGGGGCCCGCCGCCCGCGCCCCTC